AACCTTCATGACCACGTAGATTTCATAATGAAGGCAACTTTTTTTGCAAAACTTTTTTTATTCACACGTTTTGGGGTTCCCAGAGGATGTCATCCATATAATCAAATCAACATGGCCATGGCCTTACCATGAAAGCTCATCTGCGTTGGTAGTAATCATAGTAAAATGTTGCACTTTGTTCCAACACAAGGTGTACACAGAGATCAAATTTTCAACCACCCCTGTCACCTTCATCATGATAATTGATGACCAATCACTTCCGAACGTAATCTCGAGAGTTACGGTTACAGACACGTGACCTTATTTTTACGAGACCTTACGGATACGTGACGCCAACAATTTTTGTCCAAAGGCATGTTATTTGTTCCTGTGTGTTTGTTCGCTGTTATCTGCTCGGAAATTTGCGCAAGAGTTCGCGCGTTCGTGGATGTTTGCTAACGATAAGAAGGTCATACACGTACAAAGAGTTCCACGATTTCATACCTTCGCCAAATGATAATAACATTGACGAATGTTGACGAATTATAGATGATTTTCATTGATTATGAAACAAGATCCTCACTGGCAAGAATTATATACAGTGAGAACTTTATTGACACAACAAAAGTACAGCGACTCTCGTAAGGTCTAAGACATGTAGATAATTTTTATACAGACAAATATACATGGGTACAACGAAATTATCCTACGTACAAAACACTAGATGGGTCAACGAATACTACTTGTTCTAAGGTCTAAACATTCTTTGATATATTTACCTATTTGTACACAGTAAGGGTTATTGCCTATATATCTGATTCAGTTGATCATATTCCTATCCCATCCCTTTCTCTATTCCTCTATACATATCCCTCTATCCCTCTCCTTGTATCCCTAGGCCCATCCCAGGGGCCTATTCCTTTATCCCTACCCCCTTGTCAACCAGTTCTTGAGTTAGCCTCATTAAAGCATCTTTTAAACAAACAAACAAACAAACAAACCATCACACACACCAAGAGAGACACACACAGACACTGACTCTACCGAGGACATGGCCTAACTTGGCAAATTAAGTTGTCAAAGCGCTGGCTAATTCAGTATTCTATTCTGTAACATCTTACATACGTGAAGTCAGGAATGGTCTCTCTTGCAATCAGCATCAGCTTGTAGACAGACTGTCCGGCAGGCATGGTGACTACAGTGGTGTACGGGACCCAGGTAGGATCCACGGCATTCACAACCTCCAGAGTCACATGGGCAACTCCACGTTCTGTGAGAGAATAATAATTGTTTAATTTTTTTTTCCTCTAGAAATATTTAACCCTAGAAAAGAAATCTGTATCTGTATCTGTATCTGTATAGCCGGTATAACCGCCTTTCGGAAATATATCCTTTATGGACACACGTCAGATATTCTTTTAAACAAAGCCATGTTGTTAGCTAAATATTACATCTTTAAATATATTGTACGAAACGAAAGTTTTAGATTACAAAATATGCGCCAACATTTAGAACACTTGATGTAAAAGGGGTAAGCCACAACGCACCATGTATTTGTATGTGTGTCTGTATGTAAAATTTGAAATAAATGATTTTAGAAAATTATGATAATAATTGTTTTATTACAAATTCATGCCCGAGGGCTAATTGCAGGAACAGAAGAAACATTTGGTATAAATAAAAACTGACAATTACACAGAGAACTACTGATAACTCCTAAAAAAACTACTGGCAAAAAAACTACCGGGTTTGACTTCTTTTTTGAAGAATAATGAGTATTGACTAACTTTATTGCACAACAACTGTACAGGGTACAAACTATGGCATCTACACTTTTATAAAATTAGCCTAAACAATACAAGAGTGGGTGGCTTGTATGAGATAGGTATGAATTTTTACAATCATTGGAGGAATAAAAAGGAATTGCCTCTAATGTCAGACTAAATCAAGGAATTATGACTAGTTTTGGGAATAGAGTGTACAACTAACTCAATTAGGATTGAGTTTGTTTACAACTAACTCAATTAGGATTGAACGTTTTAGTGTGTTTTTAGCCTTGAAAACGGCAAACCAGCTCTGTTGTTGAAACTATCTGCCCTGTGTTTTATATATACCTTACACCTGAGGGCACTTCTTGAACTGGTTCGACTACTTCTGTATTTGGCATAGACACAGCGCTCAAGACAACAACCATGGAGGAATCTGACAAAGAGGTCAGTGCAAATGTTTTGGGGCTCTTCTGTCTTGATATGATTCAGGACCAATTTAATGTATAGATTATTAAAATGACTTTGACTTTACCCCGAACATTCTCTGGATAAAACAGAGAAACTGGAAAGTCAACGGGAAAGAAAGTCTTGGGGAAAGGCTCGTACCTCGACACACCATATATTTTTTATTTACAATTCGACATGAATAATACTGGACATGGTGGTGAGGTACTCTAGCTATAGCTAATATTAACCTCACCACCAGACATACAGGTATATATAGAGACAAAATACATGACAAAAACAACAGGGAATAGTACTCTCCAAGCAGAGGTTTGGGTTTTGGGGGTATTTTTAGTGTGTTTTTAGGCTTTTTTGGGGGGGGGTTCTCTTTTGCACTGAATTTTTTTCCCCAAAATTCAGTGCAAAAGAGAAACCCCCCCAAAAAAGCCTTAAAAACACACTAAAAATACCCCCAAAACCCAAACCTCTGCTTGGAGAGTAAGGGAACAGCAAATGGGTGGAAATGGCAACACGGTAATTATGGCAATGAATAATTAATGAATGGTAGGAATTAATCTAATACAAACCGTTTAGTATCAATAACGTAAGTTCGGGTGATTGTCAAAATGTTACAGTTTGTATCTGGGTGTAAATCGGGTGATCCTCTAAGTAAAATATTACATAAGAATTGTTCGGACATGTTATGTACATGTCCGATACACCTTGGTATTAGGGGTCAGAATACAGTTTAGATTCAGTTGCAAACTTTTCCTCGCTACCTCCGTTTTCTTCTTGTAACTGAAATCCTAAGTAGTACTTATCTGAGACCCAAGAAGACATTATGAAAGCACTGGTGTTCATAACACGCGTACGAGGCAAGTGTCCTTTAACTATATTTTGTATTTGATGTCTTCATTTAGAGTGCATAAAAACCATTCGAGTTATAGTGGAGGTTATATAGCTACACAAACTATCAGACATTTTAAAGGAAAGTGAATGTAGGAACAGCACAAGATATAAGCAGCCCTCAAGGAAATATAGAATCTGACCTCTGATTCCCTTAAACTGAGTTCGTCCTTATTGAGACACCTAAATTGGAAGGTATTAAATTGGAGGTTAGAACGATCGACCAATATGGCTACATTGCCTTAGGGGCAGGTGTGCCAAATGACGCAGTCAATTTAGACTAAAGTGTGTGTGTGTGTGTGTGTGTGTGTGTGTGTGTGTGTGTGTGTGTGTGTGCGTGCGTGCGTGCGTCAGTGTGTGTGTTTTGTGTGTGTACATGTGTGTGTGCATGTATGTGTGTGTGTGTGTGTGTGTGTGTGTGTGAGTGTGTGTGTCTTGTGTGTGTATGCGTATGTTTTGTGTGTGTGTGTTTTGTGTGTGTGCCTGTGTGTGTTGTGTGTGTGTGTGTGTGTGTGTGTGATTCTATCAGACTTGGCAGATCATGTTGTATTGATAACCTGACACTGTATTTTTGTATTTTTTTTTAACCGATGTCCTTCCATATTCCTAACCCCCGACAGGAAAATGTGCTTGCTGAGTTGAGGCAAATCAGATGTGAGGTCAAACAAATCAACAATTACCTGGAGAGCAGCAGCGGACAGAAATGGTACGCCGGCAGAAAAGGGCAGGTGAGTTATGGACTTCTTACTTTTGAGACCCCACAAATTTAGTTTCTGTATCTGTATCTGTATAGCCGATATAACCGCCTTTCGGCGTAACACACCAGCTTCGGAGGCACGCGGCGCGGCGGCATCTGGCTATATCACACCGATCGACTTGTTACACCTAACCCTTATAAGCTTCTAACTCTAGACATTGTTTGAAGCTATCCAATGACAATGCCCCTACTGTACTTGGTGAGAGCGAGTTCCACTCTGCGATACTTCTAGGAAAGAATGAATTCTTGAACAGCTCAATCCTTGGTTGATAACTCTGGTACTTGAAGGCATGGCTATTTCTTGTTCTCATCTGGGCTGGTATTAGGTACTTAGTAGTAGTTGGGACGTCAACCAGTTTATTAGTAATTTTGAACATCATGCATAGTTTGGAGCAAAGCTCGATCATATCTTGATGAAATGTTATTTACCAAGACAGCTGAGCTTTTCTGTTCATGATTCCTGCCCCCCTTCCCACTCTCCCCAGATGATCCGAGTGCTGATCACCCCCACCCTGTTCTCCCTGAGGGATGTGGACACCGTCAAACAGGAGTTCTCGGCAGAACTCTGGTATGAAATTTTCTACAAGGACAAGACTCTCAAGGGGATTAAAAATAGACAGGTAAGAGGTAACCTGTGACGATATCGATTCAATTTTACAAGCTGAGAATGGTGTAAAAGTTCATTCACCCAGTTACTAGAGGATTCTTTCAACAGTGACTAGTTAAAAGGGTAAGGATACTGACCTCCAAATTTTCGATGACTATCAGTCCATCTTGTTCACGGAGTGCATGGCCTCGTTAAACCGGACCGGAGGTTGGGAGCTCCCCAGGACAACTTACCCTTGCTCCGGAGGGAGGCAACAGGGGTAGGGCCCAGCAGACCGATGCAAGTCTCGAGCCTAGTCTCGCGCTCTCGCCACTCCGTGAACAAGATGGACTGATAGTCATCGAAAATTTGGAGGTCAGTATCCTTACCCTTCCAACAAGTCACTGATGAAAGAATCCCCTAGTAACTGTATCTATACGTGACAAATTAATCTTTTCAACGATATTCATTCAACCAGCTTTACAATCATGCATGTGGCACTAACATTGGCCAGGTGGTCCTTATGTAGAGTTGCAGACCACGTATACAGGTTTAGTCCATGTTTCAGGAAGTAGACTGGGACGATCAGTGGGATCCGAGGATCGTGCTGAGGAACACGACGAGCATTGAGAGCGAGAAGTCAGCGCAAAACCTGATCCCGGTAGTCGGGGAGGACGTGCCCATCGTGCACGAGTTCAGGAAGGTCCGGGCAACCTTCAAGGTCGACATGGACCTCACGGACTTCCCTGTTGACCACCAGGTATGTTATCTGTTCCTTTTCACAGCTCCGATTGTGCAGGGATGAGTAATTTTTTTAACGGAGTGGTTCAATGCAAGGCCTATACGACTACTTCTCGGCATTGAACTAGAAATATGAGAGAAACATGGCTATGTCAAGACAAGAGGTGGTGGTGAACGTTTGATTTGAAAGCCTGAAGATTGTAAGATGGTGGGAAGCACTTGTCAGGGAGGGAATTCCAAAGCTTGGCCGTACGGGGAAAGAAACTGTCACTGTAAAAAGATTTCGAACAAGGAATAATATTCAATTTGGACGGTAAAGTTGTGTGAGCTAGTGGAGAACTTAGTGGAACGCTTAAAAGTTCTGAGTGGTGGAACTAGCTGGGTGAGTTCTGCAAAGCAAAGACCATGAAAATATCTGTAAAAGAGGGTTGTGGAATTAAGGTACCTGACTTGTACTAACCGTTCGTCTACAAGCCTCGGCCCTAAACGTTGCCTAGGCCAAATGCATCACGACTACACTCTCGCAATGTCACCATTTTCGTCCAGTAACGTTCCATGTTGAGTGAGTGACAATTACTAACCACTTGATTACGCACGCTACATTTTCATCCTTGATACTGTTATGATGCTTCCAGAAACTGACTGTCCAGCTGATGTCAGGATGGCCACTTAAGAAGGCGGAACTGAGAAAGAACTACGGGTCCAATGACACCATTAATGACGAGGACTTTGCAGGTAAGGCGCGGTGTTACATTTGTCGTAGACTGTCGTTTGTTTTTTTTATCGTAGAATTTGTACATTTGTGATATAATGAGAACTATAGAAGTAACATTTGCAAAGCAAATGCATAATGTTTACCTTCGGACATGGTCTGCTCTGTAAGTCTTACTCAAACACATTCACATACATGTACTACGAGTATATGGTGACAGGAGTAGAGCAGACCATGAAATTGCAACATTATGTAACCCAACACCAGTCACCATGGTGACAGAAATCAACAAATCATGTCATTGTCCAGGTCATAGGTCACTGCTTGGAGAAGAAGAGGAAGAAACTGAGTAAAAACAATATGTATTCCTTCGGTAAACATAATAAACTAGAAAGGCCAATATTTGCTTTGGAGCAAATACAGCGATGGGTTCACCACATTTTACGACATGGCAGGGAAAGAATGAGAAACACAAGGGAAAACAATGATTTACATTGATATAACTATAATATGAAGTAAAATACAACTAAAACAACAGTTGGATAGCTATTCCCTACTTTATTGGTTAGGATTTTTAATTGCATAATGCAAACTGTTGATTTTCAAAAAAAAAAAAAACGTACCAATGCCCCGCATTCCAATGCTGGAGCAGGAAAGCTTGAAATCCCTACCAAAACACTTGAATACAGACATACTGTCAGTATGGAAATGCTCTGTGCAGGTGTTAATCAAGTTAAATCCCAACAGCCAATCAGCAAGAAGAATAGAGGAAAGCTGCATGCCTATTGGTTGATGCCCTGCATTCCATTGTGATGACTCATGCCCAAACGTGGTAAACAAGGCACACTAACACAGTAATACATTTGCTATAACACAGCCAAAAAACTCAAATAAAACCATTCTAAAAGCCTGTATCACAATAATTTAAAAAACGCCTAGGGGTATTTGCCCACTGTACCTCCATACCAAATTTCAGGACCTCGGGCCCTAAAATGAAGAAGCTGAATCCATTTAAAAAATGGCAGGAGAAGAAGGAGGAGGAGAAGAAACATCAGAAAAAGCAACATGGGTTCACCACCACTTCGTGGTGTGGTGAACCCATAATAATGTCTTAATAGTGACTATATCTTTACCACCATCTAATCCCTTAGATGCAGACCAATGGAATGTGAGTGAGTACCTAGACTGCAGGCATGGCACCAAAGGCAACAGCCAGTCCAAAACCTTCAGCGAGTACCCCGTGTACAACATCACTGCGCACGTGCAGAGGAAGTCGGCTTTCTATAATTGGAACACCGTGCTTATCTTGGTATGTGTATCCTTTTTTTTTGATTGAGACTTTTACTTTTAAAGAGACTCTTTTTAAACAATCAGAAGTTTTTTTTCAGCCGACGTTTCGGTGACCGTCAATGTGAACCAGTCAGAATATTGCCCTGAAGAAGGGAACAGACGGTCATCAAAACGTCCACTGAATAAATGATATGAATCTTTATTGCATGTTCTTGCCCAAATGGGCTAAACGCACAAGAGGATTATGCTGTATGCAAAACATGAGTATTACATACTGGAACGCTATATTCTAATGCTAAGTGCTAGGAATCTATACATTACAACAATACTATATACTATCTATCATCTACAAATAGTTTTGAAACATTTGGAAACATAATTACATAGTTTGTCTGCTATACATTCGTTCTTGCATGACATCAAGTCATTAAACGTGTCCTGCTTTGACATTATTCTTACATGTCTTGTCAAATTGTAAAGTATCGAATAAAACTCCTGGTTTTGTAAAATTCTTCTGTCATCTCTGTTGTTTTCCCAACAGTTCCTGATCATGGCACTCTCCTTCACCGTGTTCTTCATCCCAGTGGAAGATTACAAGGACCGGCTCGGCGTCATTTTCACTCTGCTGCTCACAACAGTAGCCTTCAAGCTGGTGGTGTCCCAGTATCTCCCCACTGTCTCCTACCTGACTCTCTTGGTGAGTAGGAATTTTTCTGGTACAAAATTGTGGTAAACAAACTTCTTGACATAACATTTCTGTTGTATTTGGTGGCAGTTAGTCCTACGATGATCACTCTCAGTGAGTCCAATATTGACGTTTCAATGCTGTTAACGTTCCAGTAACCCAAACACAGGGCTCGAAATTCATTTTTGGGAATATGTGCACTGGTGCACCATATAAAACAAAACGTAATCACAGATCTTGACTGCTCCTCTTCTGAGCTTGAATCTGAAATAGAAACTTCAAAATCCAAGAATTTACTGTTTTTCTGACACTTAGATGCCAAGACTATCCTTCCTGTGTACTATTATACATTTCATATGTACAAAAATACCAACAAAAAAATGGGTGCACGGCTCGAATTTTGGGTGCACTAAGGTGCACATGCACCCAGTATTTCGAGCCCTACAAACTTAATTCACTGTCTAGAGATGTTCTCTTGGCATTGCACTGAGCAAATCTGTAAAAATACCGTGAAAACTTCCTTTCCTTCCTACCAGAAAGGCAAGGGCAAGTACATATTGGGGTATTCATCTTCTTTATCATCTTGATTCTTCTTAGGACAAGTACGTGCTGGCGTGTATCATCTTCCAGTGGGTGGTGGCAGTGCAGAGCACGGTGGCCTCGGTCATCAGGGACAAGAACAGCGCCAGGCTGTTTGACTGGGTCTCTGCGGGTGTGCTTGTTGTTGTGGTCCTTTTGGCCCACCTTTTCTTTGGGATCATCATAAGGAGGAAGGTGCGTACACAGACAGCGACAAGAGTAGATTTATATATGTTTAAAGTTTTGTTAAAAAGTTAAAACTTTTGGTCCAACACAAAAAACATCTCTCACCTAGAGCATTATTTGGAGTATTCGTGTGCGCGATAATGTATGCCGTATGACAGTTATTTGCATGAAATAATCTTTATGCTTCGAATACTCAATTAGGTGAACGAGAAGGATGGAAAGCTGCGAAAGATTCAAGAGAAGTTCAAGGTAAGGCTTTGCATCTAGTAGACCTCCTAATTACGAAAGACCATAGGTACAATTATGTATTTTTTTTCTTGCGTGTGTACTTTGAGTTTCTACGAGTACTTACAGTTTCTATCGGAGTTTTTATGAGTACTTAGAGTTTCTATGAGTACTTAGAGTGTCTATGAGTACTTAGAGGTTCCATACAAACTCTAAGTGCTCACAGAAACTATAATTAAGTACACATAGAAACTCTAAGAACACACACAAGAAAAAATTGTACCAATGGTCTTTCGTACCTAATTGCTCCACCCCCTCCATGAACTTCCCCTCCATCAACAAAACAGTGATATCAAGTTCAAGGCTAGTTTATGAAATATATCATAAGCTTTATATAATTTTCAGATAACGTTCTACGGTGTATTTTGGAGACGTCTTGCTCAGTTATGATGACAGGAGACATATTCATAAAGTATTGTACTTGTAAAATGCAAGCAACTGTTAGGGGAGCACTAGTTTAACACACAAAAAAGCATCTTGGAGAACGTGACATCTGCTCAGACTCTCAGAGATAATCTTCTAGTCCAGGTCAAGTTAAGTGTATAATGAAAGAAACAAAAAGTTTTTGTAAAAGGTCCCTTAGTACAAATGAAGTATAAGGAATAATATTGTCCGGCTTCTTGCTCAAACACATTCATATATATGGTCAGACAGGGGTCTAAATCCCTCCTGCTATGAAATTGCAACATTATGTTACCCAAAACTAGTTACCATGGTGACAGACATCAACAAATCATGTCATTGGCCAGGTCGAGGTCAGTGTTTGGAACAGAAGAAGAAGAAACGTAGCAACAACAATATATTTTCCTTCGGTAAACATAAATATAGTACACCTACGTCGAAACACTGCAAATTTACAAAAGATTCAGAGACAACAACAATGTTATGATATTTCTTTGTCAACACTTTAAGATGATATAAACGCATCAAAGTGAATCCTTGTTATATCTTGCTTCTTATGTAAAATCAGCGGCTAAAGGAACGAGTTGACAAAGCCTACGAGAATCGTGACACGGACGCACCGGGGAGCACCAAGACCAACATGATCATCAAGGGCTTTACCGACGAGGAGGTTAAAGAGGTAATTTGAGCACATTTGAACCTTCAATGTAAACACTCTACACTCACACAAACACTCACATCTGCAGACAAACACAGGCATACACAGACACAAATACGGACACGAAAACACACACACACACAAGGACACACACACACAAGGACACACACACGAGGCTCGAGGACACACACACACACACACAAGGGCACACACACTGGGCGAAAAGGCCTCGAATGCAGCCATTTACGCACAGGGATATTTACGCATTTTTAGCAGATACAAGCGGATGCAAACGGATACGGGTAGGATCCGTAAAATATCCTAAATTTGCATTCTTAGGGATCCGGAATGTTTGGATCCCTAAATATCCCAAAATGGGATTTTCCACGGATACCAATTTGTTTCTTTGGGAATTTTTTTGCATACCTGGACTGTCCGGATCCCAAAGCATTCCAAAGCGGGATTTTCCGCGGATTCCAATTTGTTTCTTAAGGGATTTTTTGTACACCTGAAGTAACCTGGACTGTCCGGATCCCAAAGAATGCAAAAAGCGGGATTTTCTACGGATGCGAATATTTTTAATAGGGATTTTTCCGGATATGCGATATATCCCCACGTGCAGACGTCGGTATTTTACACGGATGCGTACAGATACAACTTGTGATTTTCCCGTATCCCTATCGGATTTCCATACACATTTCTCTGCATTTGCCTCGGATGCAAACAGAGCCGGCGTTTGGATTTTTAGTATCCGTACCTCGGATCTTCCCGAATCCTTACGGCGTTCTCCTCTGGATACGCCCGTGTTTGATATGTATACGTGCAGATCCAACAAGCAAGTCAAATTAAGTAAATGAAGGAATAAACGAATGACTAGATTTAGCCTGAAAGCCTTTATTAAAACTCCGCACATACTGTGTAAAGCGACAAAAAAGAGAGAACTAACTATACGAATACAATGTCATGTACCATATGTAAAATAAATATTTGCAATACTAAACAGGTAGAACTAGAACTATCACGTCATGCTTCGCCAGGATGATCGTCTCACAGTCCATCTTCTTTGTAGAAGTCTGCGCTGCAGTCTTACCACGTTCTATCAGTCGCTTCTGACCTACGAAAAAATACAACAACAGAAAACAAGTACAGTGTAAAAATGGCATTTTGGCCAGAATGTGCTAAAAACCGTTAGGATAACAGTCTCCCCAGCGGCCTGGATGCCAGCAGCAGGCATTGTTATGCGAGCCAGCATTGACATGTGAAATACCCCCCGTGAGAAGCCGGCGCTTTTACATATGGGAACAACAGGTCAGATAAAGGTCACACTCGGATGTGAGTTGCGAAGTTGAGTTGCTCCAAGGACATTATACTTGGTTGCTCTAAACTTTCGTCAGAAATGATCTGAAACCATAATGATTATACTAATTAAAAGAGTTTCGAAGGTTTTACTCACTTCTATATGCCGTCAACAGTCTTATGCAGTCGGTTTATGGTCCAGTTGAACTGTTCGTCAGGCGAGTCTGCAACGTGTCATGACATGCCTGGCGGCTTCGTGCCCTCGCCGGGCGACGTATAGGGCGATGTCCCCGGTACGTCTCTCGTCCTTGCCACCCTGCTCGGCTACTGATACCGTCCAGTCGGTGTACGGTCAGTATCCTAGACTTTGAAAATCAATGCCGTGGTTGCTGAACTTATGTGCAGCGGATATATATGGACAGCCAGCGGGACGATAGAAAGGGACGCACACTCAAGCAAGCGGTCACTGAAAGTCACTGAAAGTGACCGTTGAGTTTGATTCTCCCCCGGGGGGGAATCTCAGATTACCCACAAGGCACTGCTGCTGCCGGAACTGCTCTGCGGATCCAGCGAAAATGCAGAAGTGGATCTTTGAGAGATGCTCGGTTTTGACACCGGCGAAGGTTGTATGTGAACCAACTTCTTGTCTGATACGCAAAGTTTCCAATCAGCAAAAATCAGTACAGTCACAAATCCGAGCAGACATTTGCTTATGCAACACGCAAAGGCAACGTACGTACAATGTACGTATATGGCTATTTACGGGGTGCACCCTCTTGTGGCGACTGTAATTTCAACAATTTGCGGATGCGTACGAAAACAAATTCGGATATTCAAGATATCCCCAGATTACCCACAATTCGCTTCTGCTGTGGAGTGGGCCCGCAGATGCGTACGAAAACAAATTCGGATATTTAAGGTATCCCCAGATTACCCACAATTCGCTACTGCTGTGGAGTGGGCCCGCGGATGCGTACGAAAACAAATTCGGATATTTAGGTATCCCCAGATTACCCACAATTCACTTCTGCTGTGGAGTGGGCCCGCGGATGCGTACGAAAACAAATTCGGATATTTAAGATATCCCCATATTACCCACAATTCGCTTCTGCTGTGGAGTGGGCCCGCGGATGCGTACGAAAACAAATTGGGATATTTAAGGTATCCCCAGATTACCCACAATTCACTTCTGCTGTGGAGTGGGCAAGCGAAAGCGTAAGAAAGCAAATTTGGATATTCAAGAAATCCCCAGATTACCCACAATTCGCTTCTGCTGTGGAGTGGGATTAAAAAAAAACAGGAATACAAGTATCCTTGTATCCAGTGTATAATGGAGTATCTCACATATTTATCTTACAAACGGTGGTATCCGAGGTACAAAAATATGGCAGGATATGACCCCTAAAGATGTGGCATGTTGCTATCCTAACAACGTATTATTTCTTAAGTATACGTAACCAGCAAGTATCCATACGGATACCGTGTCTGCATCCGCTGCGAAGTAAGTATCCTTACGAATGCCGCATCTGCATCCGCTGTGAGGCACGGATGCATACGTATGCGTTACAGATGTGTGTGGGATCCGCAATTCTGGGGATTCTTGGTGTGGGATCAGCAATCTTTGGGATTCTTGGGGATCTGCGCAGCATCCGTAAGGTGATGCAAATTGGGATCCTTGGGATCCGGCTGCATCCGAGGCCTTTTCGCCCAGTGACACACACAACGGCACACACACACACACACACACACAAGGACACACACACACAAGGACACACAAGAACACACACACACAATGACACACACACACACAAGGACACACACACACACAAGGACACGCTCACACAAGGACACACACACACAAGGACACACACACACACAAGGACACACACACACACACACACACAAGGACACACACACACAAGGACACGCACTCATTGAGACACACAACATCATAGTCGCACACACACACACACACACACACACACACACACACACACACACATACAGAACACGCTCAAATGCATTCAACAATTTGCATTTTCTAGCGTTTCTTACTCTCCTCCTTGCATTTTGACCAGACAAAATTCTACACTTATCATTAAAACACAATTTCACATTTCAGCCCAACAGCCTAAAGTTGGTAAATATCATGGTCATGCCGTATACGCCCTGATGTTTCAGTTACACACCTTGTCTCTTTTTGAGGCCGAAAAAGACACGTATAGCTTTAAATCGGCCTCTCCTTATGTTTAGTGACTTAGCAAGTAATTGCTGTGTTCTTCCCTTTATCTTCCAACAAAAGTTTGAGTGCGACTCGAATCGTGAAGATGAACCACTTGCGTACGGCCTTCAACACGACCATGATGGAGTCTAGAGGGGCGATGTGAAGAACTTTATTGCACGACAATTGCACATGGTATAATGTATGGCAAACTACATAAAGAAAGTAACAAACAATAAGATAAATGTGTTGAATAATGTCAAATAAAACCTAACATATCTTAATTACTCAAACAGTAAGAGCTAGCACAAGTCTTTGATACAGTGTTACAATAGAGTGGGCTAATCATAAGTTTCGGTATTTTTTCTAATAACAAAGCAGTCCTTTATATATCTACTTATTTTTGCGTTGTGGGAACCTTTACATGTAAAGATATATTCAAATCTGTCTCCAATATCAAGATTCTTGAAATCTGTGTGAAATGTGTGACTGCCAACTGAAGTGTACTCGACCATCTTCTACACTTTTTTCTAGCTTTGTTGGTTCCAAACATTGGATTTCAAAGCTAAAATGCTGTTATCATTAACTTGGTAATTGGCATAATAATTTAGAGTGTTATGTTTTTTAATATCAATTTTAAATTATACTTTGTATCATGTACTATATTATGAAATGATATCATAAAAGTGTCATAAAAAGGGTCATACAAGCCCAAAATATGTCGCTGTTCAGTGGACCAGACATTGTACCAGTCTAGTATATCCATTTCGTCTGAAGTGAGTCTAAAAATAGCGGCACAAAGTATACTGTTTTTGTTGTAATAGAAGAAGTATATTTTGTTAATTCTTGCTTACCTGACAATGTGAAGTCTGATGCCAGCAAAAGCACCAAAACCCACAGGGTAGATTTGATGCAGCTCACCACCATTGTTGTTGCAGTCGTGGGGTTCACTCTTGCAAACGTAGCCTCAATGTTTTAATGTACAACACTGCGTATTTAAATATCCGTAGGTGACCCTAAGGCCATGTTGATTTGATTATATGGATGACATCCTCTGGGAACCCCAAAACTGATGCGAGCGTGCGAATAAAAAAAGTTTGGCCCCCCAAAAAGTTGCTTTCATCATCTACGTGGTCATGAAGGTTGAACAAAGTACACAGAGTATGATATAATAATCTACTCTTCACATTCATTTCTTCACATTTTCGTCTTTTTCATTTGATTTTGGCATTCTACGACATTGGTATCGTTTTCAAATAATATTTTGCAACTTACGGTATATATTTGCTCATTTTGCAACTGTTTTGTACGATTTACAGTATGGTTGAAAACTTAATTTTTGTACAAACGGCCGAGAATTCATGCGCGCGTGGATGTCATCCATATAATCAAATCAACATGCCCTAACTGCTATTCATACATGTCAACGAATACAAACAGAGCCTAGGCCCCTTTTTTCCGCTCTCAGGAAATGGCGGATGCTGGCAAGGTTTTCAGGTCAAGTCAAGTCAAAGTGTTTATTGCACAACGATTGTAACAGGTACAATGTATGGCAGATAATAGAATTACTAGCTGGTACGGGTCTATCAAAATTCTACATATAGGTTCAATAGGTACTGTGTCTGGCAGAATGTTGAAAAGAACTACTGACTAAGAACTATAGTACACCTCTAAAAGTCGTACTAAGCTATCATGACCAATGGCCTGACTCCCATATAAAAACATTGTACCTAAATCCGGCATGTGTGCTGCCAGATAACTGTGTAAACTACACGTATTGATCGCTGCATGTTTGTCCTTGACTGTATGTAGCCCATTGCTTACTACCTCCCTCTATTTCAAATGAATTCTCCCGTCCAATAGCGCCACCCAGTGATCCAAGCCACAACTGCAACCCTTACACACAAGCCTGATAAGACCACTCCATTTTAGCTACAAACTTTCTGCGGCAGGTTTTGAAATTGTGGATGTATACAATAACTCAGAGGATCATTTAGAGCCTAAGAGTAATAACCAGAAGCAAGTTCTGACTCCACTAGTACAGCCAATAGATCAACATGTGAGCTTGCGTACGTATGCGTACACGTATGAGTGTTTGTGTAGTGGTGGTGGTGGTGGTGGTCGGGTGGGGGGGGGGGCGGATGGGCTGTGATACTGTAGTCAACAAAGAAGAACGGACCTGCGCTTGAAGTTCGCCAAGAAGTTGGAACCTGCAGCTCTCCTTCCAGTAATTGGTAACACCCAAAACAGAATAGCGACAAACTCAGACATGTTTAGAACAATTAACAGTAGAACCAGCCGATGTAGGGACTCGCCCATGTCGTATCTTGTCAGATGCATTAACATGCAAATCAAATACTTCCGGATACTGCGGCAAATCTGACGACTTGGTTTAAATTTGAACGCTTCGTTTTTAATGTTTATTGAGTCAGGCGTACTTTTAATTCTTTTAAAGTTCGTTTAAAAGAAATTTGATTAAGATTTTTACCAAGAGTAATTCAGAATTTTTTCATGCTCAGGCTTTTGAATTTATTCTGATGCTGCAAATTAAGTTAAAAGTTATTTCAATGCATTTTATTTTTATGGCAATACAGTTTTATTACTACAATCCCGTTATGTTAACTGAAATGATGTGGAAGAGCTGGGAATTTAGCCGTTAGGCTGGCATATGCGCATGCTTTCGTTTATACAATAAATCATTTATTCATTCGCTCATTCATTCATCCATGGACTTTCTATTCATGCCTTTTACTGCATGACTTTTGTATAATTGTTTTTGAACTACGAACTCAGTTTCCTTTGTTTCTTTAGAATATTGAATTCAGGCTCAGTACACAAGTTTGCTATGCTCTAGTATCTACTTTATTGACGGAGGAATTCAATGGGTCGTGAGCCTCATTGTATCCTGGGAACGACGACGATATCAGCACCCTGGGATGGAGATGGAGTTATCGTCTGGAATGGTGGGTTCAGGAGGCGCGTTGATCAACTGGAAATCATTTGCCACGTCCTAGCGATAACAAAGAGAACTGCACTTAAACTTTCGTATGACACACAGCATAGAGGTTTTTCAAATGCTTTAGATATAGCAAGTTTGCATTGTGTTGTGTTTGTATTGCAACGACAAAATTCTAAAGCACCGTTGACCAAGCATCCAAGGAGATTACTATCATGGAAGTTCATCGTGTTGGAAGTTACATGTTTCAAGTTAAAACGTTTAATTTTATAATTTTGATCCAACACAAAAATTCTCTCACTGAAAGCTTTCGACCAGTGAAGGGTGATGGGCCCTGATGTAAATAGATTTCACAACTCTCAGGAAATATTCTTACAATTATTTACGTCAGGGCCCATCACCCTTCACTCAACCGCGACGGGGGCCGACATCGTCTACAAAATATCTTTGACCCAGTGTTGACGTCACATTTTAGAAGAAGCTACGTGACAAGTCTCACTGGGTCAGTCTACTGAGGAAGACCAGAGTAACTTTTCGAAATCTCTAGATGAGAGAACTTCTTGTTGGATCGACAGTTTTAACATTTAGTTAAAACATCCGAATGAAATCGCAAAAGATGCGTTTTTTTTCGGCGTTCTGCTGGAAATACTGTACCTTTATGTAACAACTCACCGGATAACAGAAGGATATCACCTGACCGTTACGAACGTGTTGTTCGAAACGTTCAGCCTCCTGATTGGTCCATGGGTACTGGTTGATGACGTCAATCAGGGTCTGGTTAACCATGTTGGGCGGGACGTAGATCGGGTACGGGTACTCCCTACAATAATCAAAGACAAAAACTTTGATAGTCATTCCAACTTTTAATAAACATCATGCATAATGTATCTTCGTAGAAGGAAAACATTATTGTCTTTGCCCAATTCAGCCTTCTCTTCTTCTTCTACAAAGACCCGGACCAAAATTTTAATTTTAATTTTAATTTTAATTTTAATTTTATTTTAATTTTAATTTTAATTTTAATTTTAATTTTAATTTTAATTTTAATTTTAATTTACGGCATTGAAGTCAATTCTAAACATCTAACATAAATCAAACATACCAGTGGGCATACTGGACACCGAAGAAGGTTGCCTGTTGGTTGATGTCTGTCCAGCTGTAACAGCGAGCCAGTTTGATCCGCGGGTAGTACTGAATGAAGTTTAGGCACATCTCTTCCCTGGAACTCAGTCCTCCCTGTTTGGGAATGATAAATGCTTGCAATGTTGGATTACATTATGTAGCAAGTACGAGGGGCTGGTCAAAGATAGGACCAAGTGCTGTTGAGAAGACTTTCCCGATTGGTTCGAGCGGGAATTCCAACTAAGTATTACTAAGTCAGTATATGTTTCCACCATCTTTGAATGAATAGCATTACAATCCAAACGAATGCAAAATAGTTTTATTTTCCATCCGTGTTACAATCATACGTAATTAGCACTTACAAAAGTGGTCTGGGTCCTATCGGTAGTCTTGTAGGTGCATTCAGTGATGAGTTGGTCACCCTGTAAGGCAAAAAAATAGATACATTTTAGGCCAGTCTTGTCTATTATGAAGACTATATGGTAGATTTACATTAAGTAAGAAAAACAAGAAAGGTAGCATTTGCAAAGCAAATGCCTAATGTCAACCCTCACAGTTGGTCTAGGCTAACTGTAACTGCTCTGTTAATTGTTACTCAAACACGTACACATTCATAGATGTAATATGTGGTGAGAAGCCCCTCCAGCTCTGTCCTGCTACAAAATATAACCCAGCACCACAGAGTGTCTGCTACATTGCTAGTTACCATGGCGACAGACGTCTAGTCCAGGTCATTGACTCTATTTGTTTGAAGAAGAAGAAGATGAAGAAGAGGAAGTAACAGAGCAAAAGCATATGTTTTTCTTCTGCGAAGGTAAACATAATTAGATGCCGACATAGATACAACAATTGTGCAACAATAAGAGAAGTAATAGAAAGGGTCGCCTTTTCCGTACCTCACTCACGACGACCTCCGGTTCGAGGAGTCGGATCTCCTGAAGATCGAAGTCGTACGACTCGTCCCGACCGACGTACGACTGCACCACGCCATTTCTGACCAGCTTAGTACGCACGGCAATGCCGGCCAGGTGAGAGTGGGGCATGGAGGCAAACACGTTGATGGGATGGCCCTGCTGCTGCAAAGCCTGTTGTACAAAGGATATCGTCATAGAGGTTCATCAGTCACGTATAAATTAAGAGTTAGTAGAATATTCATCAGTGAAAGCTGACTGTTTTGAAAGCTAGAAAACACATGCGCTGGAATGAATTGTAATGAGGATTAGAAGTTTTTACGCCACAGTCTTCTGGGAAAATATCTATAGAAATGTGAAATAAATACTACCTAATATTGATATTTGGATTGTATAAAAGATCGAGTGGATATCTCAATCTGCATTGAGGAACATCTAAAATAAAATGCTTTAGTTTTACTGAGAGATGAAAACTGACATTGACCTACAAAGTACACTGGAGTAGCTATAGCCTTATTACTTGGCTTCGGAAAGCGGCTGGAAAGAGTAGAAATCGGCCAAATAGACAGCATGCCGGGGGAGTTGGCCTGCTGGAGAGAACAGTTTGCCGCTCCCGAAGCCTGTCGGGGGTCGCTACATTCTATGTTCCCTCCAGCAGACCAACTCCCTGGGCATGCTATCTATTTGGCCGATGTCTACTCCGTTTTCCGAAGCCAGGTAGAGGCTAGTTTAGACCTTACATCGTCCAGACAGAAGCAGGTGCCGGCGGTTTGGAAACTCTCGGCGTGTGGAGGGATCATGAGCGTGGGAGCGCTGTTGATCCCGATGTCAAGAATGCCGGCGTCGTACTGCCTCACGTTCGGCGTGTAGTAGAACCTCAGTCCGGAGCTGTCCCGTACGCCTGTAGCATTGATAAGGACATGGAGGGCATGTTTAAAGTGAAAACCTTTGTTCAACAAAGAAATGTTCTCACCTAGACGATGGGTCGCCATCGTTTATCAGATACCTCACACTCCAGAGAAGCCACGTGACTAGTCTCAATGCATGGGTCAGTCTTTTGAAGAATACTACAGTGACTGGTCAAACGCTCTATAGGTGAGAACATTTGTTTGTGTTGGAACAAAAAACTTCAACTTTAAACATGTAACTACCAACGCAGATGAACTTTCACGATGACACTGAGGACAGATAACAAAATTAAGTTTGGCTATTGGCTAAGTACTGTCACACATTTCAATCTCAAAAGCTCGTCTGCGCCAGAAAATTTTCTTTCCAACCTTCCAGATATACAAAGAAAACCGGGGGTTGACCAGCTCAACCTTCGAGAACGGTTGATAACAGTAAACAAACACTATCTTTGACCTCATTTTCTCATGCATCCATCCGTTCTGGCCATGCAAGGCCAGACCACTCAGATCTGTCATTACAACCACTAAACTGGTGCAATGAACAAAATTTGACCAAAGTAGGAAAATTCGACCCTGTTCCTTCTATCCTAAAAGTATCCAAATTGGGCTAACATTTTTAAGAAAAAAATATTTTCACAATATCAATTAGGGGTTAGAATCATTTTGGGGCCTTCACTGAGGAACACAACCAAACGGGCAGCGAAACCGTCGCGCCTTACAAGTCTGCGAACGAGGCTACTATGTGTGTCCTACACTGAGTGACTTACCACTGAGCCTATTTGGGTTGTCATAGTGCATTTCCATCATGATGTAATCTGGATCATCGTCTGTTCCCATCGAGAACCCCACGTGGTCTGGATAGGTGAAACCCTGTAGAAACAGTAGCAGAGGATTTGGACCATTTATGTTGTTGATGTGAGATTTCAACTTATCAGCCTCTTCGTGTGTGTGTGTGTGTGGGGGGGGGGTGGTACAATTAGGGTTGACTAAATGTGGCGCGATTTTGCCAATTCTTCATTCCGTCTGGTTCTGCTGATTCTGAGTATTAAAGTGTAAAGAATTCGTGTACGTTAGTATGTTGTTTTTAGGATAGATTTATTGTTGTTTTTTATAGGTACTAAATCTAATGTCTTGTATGTGTTTGTAATGTTCTATGTGTGGGATCAAAGGACACGGACACAACACCAGCAACAGCTGCCTGTGTCCCACGTGTATTGCATCGTTTCAATTACCGAACCGCACGTCTACCTGAAGGAACCCCCCACCCCCGCAACGGTTTATTTGCGGCCAGTCCAAAAAGCCTGATGAATATAGGGGTGCTTCTAAAATATTAAATCGACCACGAAAACAGCTACGGTAAAAATTAAAATGCGTGCATCATCATGGGTATGCCCGCAGACGGCATGTAAAATGACATGCCGATTACACAAAGGGAACTGTGTGTTTTTATACCTGCGAACACGAAAAACTGCCCACAATACTCCGTCCGGAGGTCATGACCTCCTTCACGGAGTAATACTAGTAAATCAAATCAAATCCTTTACCTTTCCTCCCACCGCCCATGCGGTCATGATTGATTGACAGTTGTTCCATTCGACAGGCATATTGGGATGGTAGCACTCATGGCCTCCGTCCACCGTCGGGGGGACCATGCCCAGCTTACACTGGTATACCAGGATATGGTGAACCAGCGCCTCGTGGCCGGGCTGCACGATTGGCTCGATCTAATAATAAAGGGACACAGAAGTTCCGTGAACAAGGCTGACGGAGTTACAGGCACATTTCAACAGTTTATTCATAAAAAAACAGCCTCGCAGCCTGTACAAAAACATGCTGAATAACACTGTTTTTTACGGTTGATTATCTGCCAAATACAAAATCAATATTACAATACATATACAACAACACAAACACAAACATTACAAAAGGCCTCACATGGGCACTAAAGTAAAGACCAGACCGTCCTAAGATTCTTCCTGCGAAGACTTGTTGGAGTTAGATGAAAATATGGGTACGTCCCAATTCACTTAGTGTTGGACAGAATTTAGGCCTTTCTGTCAAAACGGACACAAAATAAGCCAATCTTTGTATGATGGCATATGAAGGAATGAAGGAATGAAGGAATGAATGGATGAATGAATGAAATTCAATTCAATGTGAATGAATGAATGAAATTCAATGTGAATGAATGAATGAATGAATGAATGACAATAAAAGTTCCTGGTTCACCTTGACAAGATGGTGCTTTCTGTCCAATACAGGCAGCCGCATGGTGTTACACAGGTACGTGGTGTCCTTTGAAGGGATGAGCACCTGTAGGGCAATACGGCCATACTGTCACTATCATACAAAAACATTGTACATGTAAAAAGATAGAGAAACGTGGTCAGATAAAACTTTGTTTGATTTGCCATTGTCAACCTGTTTCAGCTTTTTGGAAAATCATATCCAGTTGCTTTTGATTTGCTTTTTGGCGAATCAAAACAATAATTCAAATAATAACCAATCATTGGTCATAACAATAATCATAACAATAATTCAAATCAAAAGAAATCATTGATCATAACAATAATCATAACAATAATTCAAATCATAACAAATTATTGATCATAACAATAATCATAACAATAATTCAAATCATAAGAAATCATTGATCATAACAATAATCATAACAATAATTCAAATCATAACAGATCATTTATCATAACAATAATCATAACAATAACTCAAATCATAACAAATCATTGATCATAACAATAATCATAACAATAATTCAAATCATAACAAACCATTGATCATAACAATAATCATAACAATAATCCAAATCATAACAAACCATTGATCATACTAATTGTCATAATTGACAGTTACTAACGTTTCCTGCGGTCAGTTCAAAGGTAAGGAGACTGCTGTCCTGCAGATCGAGGTCCTGAGTGAACTTCTGCAGCAGGATGATGCTCTTGGTGCCGCGGGTCTGCCCGTGGTACGTCGCGTGGGCTCCGTGTCCATGGTCTATCGGGTCGTGGGCGCTGAAGGACCAGATGACTCGCTGGGTGTCTTCCTGGGGTGGAATAAAAAAATAACGGCTCTTGATCAGTGGCCAATATGCGGATGTTGCCACATCGGCGCAACAAATCCGTAAGGTGTTTTTGGGCACCCCAGACAGACAGAACATCTAAGAGGCTCGGTGGGTGTCACTCCACCGTATAGGTGGGGAAGTCGTGTAAAGTGCCTTTCCCAAGGGCACAACGTCGGACAACGGTGAGTATCGAACCCGGGACCTCTCGGTTCCGAGTCCAACGCTCCAACCGTTGCGCCAACGACGCCACTAGGGGGAATTGTAGCATCCATTGTAGTTGCTTCACCCCCAGATAATCATGCTCAGATACGGTTTTCGATAGTCAACACAGAACGGTGCCTGAGGCAAATCTACGTTCTTGCATAGGTGAAGACTAGCCAGAACCGTGACTGATTCTTACCAATTCAGGCATAGATATATATAAGCATGCATATGGTTCTGTGTACTTTATGGCAAACTTTTCGAATATGTCTTTGCTGGTATTTACATGATTTGTTGAGTGTTTGTAGTTCCAAAGCTTTCAGAAAGATAAAATATGTCTTTAGCTTCGAGATATGTGTCCAATATGCAGCCAAAGTGCATCTATGGGATGCATGAGAATGACAAAATCTTTCAGTCCCCTACAGTGTCAACAGTAGATCTCTCTGTCCTGGTAGATCCTAACCCTTACCGTGATCTCCCTGTCCTCCGCAGTGTCGCATGGCTTGAGCCTCCTGCGGAACCTGAGCACAGTGTGCGTGCCGTTCTCGTACCCGGACAACAGCTCCACGTCCTGGCGGGCGTCGAGCCGGGGCTCGAAGTATCCCTCCGCGTAACGGTCCTGTAGTACAAGGACGGCGGCACAAACTCATTGTTACATAGTGTCTTTTTGTTCGTGGGCTGGGTGTGACAGGTCGTTCGGTCTAATATAGCCAGCTGCCGCCGCGCCGCGTGCCTGCATAGCTTATGTGTTACGCCAAAGGGCGGTTATACCGGCTATACAGATGCAGAATAATAGTATCACATTAAGTAGTATATGGCCAAGGTAGCTGTGTTATATTATTCAGGTGGGCATGAGACAAGCCTGTTAGCTTTCGAAAAAAGCACGGGATATTACCATATTTCTAGTTACATCTAGACACACACGTACACACATGCATGTATACATACATACACGTACACAGACGTACACATACGCAAAAACGCACACACACACACACATACACACACACACAGACACACACAAATACACACACACACACAGACACACGCACACACACACACACACGCACCACACACACACACACACACACACACACACACACACACACACACACACACACACAAAGGAAGAAGCATCGCTGACAACCCATCACTACCATAGCCTCTACCAGGCTTCGGGAGACAGCTGAAAAGAGTAGAAATCGGTCACATAGAAAGAGAACATGCCGAGGGAGTTGGTCCGCTAGAGAGTGCCGCACCCGAATCACAAAATGTACTCTCTAGTGGACCAACTATTCCCTCGGCATGTTATCTCTCTATTTGACCAATTTCTACTCTTTCCAGCCGTCTCCCGAAGCCTGGTAGAGTCTAGCACTACTGTACTGTTTACCGTTATATAGGCCTGGCCGTCCTTCACCCAGCCGATGATGACGTCAGATCCAGCCATGCCCCCATTGGGCGACAGGCCCAGGCCGACGTACCCCTCGGTCTGCACATGCGCCTCGAACGTGATGGTCTCGCTGTCGAACTTCCACAGCAGAACGTACCGGCCCTGCTCGTCTAGGGAAGCCTGGTGGGTGAAGTCTCCTGTGTCTGTGATTGGTGAAGTACACAACAGATCACACTAGTCAGAAATTAATTCATAGCATGCATTCCCAAATGGTAAACGGGATCTCCAACATGCCACGGGTATAAAACTTCGACGACAGCAAGTCATTTTTATGGATGGCATCAGCGCGTGCATTAATTTTTGCCTGATTTTGAAAAAAAAAAGAAATTTTGTTGCCTTCTGACAGTGGCCAACATGCCGAAAATGGGCAAAGATGTCTGTTGCCATGTCGGAAGGTGAATGGCAGATAACTATGAAGAGAGGAAACAAGAAAAGACTCTGATTTAGTGTTTTGTTTCTTACTTTGATGCAGTAATATGTGATGTTGGTTATGTATATGTGGTGTTCCCACTGAATCAAAACCATTTGTGCAATGATTGAGTCAAAATTTTAAAATCTAGGAACCCTAATTATAATAATTCTTTTTTTAGGCCCGCCTTGTTTTTGTTTTAGAGTCTGGGAATCGATTTCATCCATAAAATTTACGTGCTGTGGCCTTATGTGACCCTGAAAATGTTACAGAATTATTACGTTTTATATTGTTTCTTACCACGGCTGGAGAGCTTGAAGTCCCTGACAGCACCGAGGATCTGTGGGTGGGAAAGAATAACAAATATTCATTCATGTAGCAAACTCTCTACCTGTCCAATATTATCAATGGCAACGAGAAGCCTACCGTGTGATATGGCATCTGTGTTTTGCATTAGATACAAGGTAACATTTGCTAAACGTTTTGTTAGATCGTAACAGACCCAATGTCCTCTCGTTCAAATCAAAGACCTTTAGACTCAGATAGCATGGTAACTAAGGTCATTTGTTGTCGATGTGAAACATTTCTATACACCTTAAAATGGCATTATGTAACATTTTTGCACCAAGTTGAATTCTTCATGTGATTGTTATTTACCTACTTTACAATACATATCTGTGCAATTATCTCTCATTTCTGACATTTGTGGTTGGTGCTTAAACAGACCACATGTTGGTGAAATCAATTTGTGGTGCCACCACAAACTACCAGAATGTAAAGAAGCTTTGAAACACGCTCGTATAAGGCGTCAAATTTTGGCACCTACACTCCCTGCATTGTACTAATTTTCAATGCAGTATGGTCGATTCAACTTACTTTGTTACGAAATGACCAGAAAATCTACTTTTTCTATCGTCCTAATGTTACATCATGCAGCTTTAAGAGTTTGAATATCGAACAGTATCAGTTGAAAGTGTTACTGGCAGCCGCTTAAAAATGTGAACCTTCCCTTGACTCACCTCTTCTTTCTGTATAGCTGAGGCCAGCAGGCAGGTACAGCCGCACAGCAGCAGGAGGAGGGTGGGCACACCCCGCATGGTTCACACTGTCCAGCGGTACGGAGATAGTATTTTTTTTGCAATTCAACATGTATAATACAGGACATGGTGGTGAGGTACTCTAGCTGTAGCTAATATTAACCTCACCACCAGACATACAGGTATACAGTGCAACAAAATACATGACAAAAACAAACAGAAATGGATCAATGAAAGGTAAGGGAAAACATGTTTTGTAGGCATTGTAGGAGTTAATCTAATACAAACCGTCAAGTATCAATAATATAAGTTCTGTTGATTGTCAAAATGTTACAGTTTATATCTGGGTGTAAGTCGGGTGATCGTCTAAGTAAAATATTACATATGAATTGTTCGGACATGTTATGTACATCAAAGATAGAGCCTACCGAGTTCTGTAGATAGTATGGTTACCGTAAAAAGTGTCGTTCGTCTTGCAGAAAGGGACGCGGGGATTGAGTTGTTACTCCTATGGCCGCACTCCTGGAGTGAGGTCGGAGTGTCCTCGTCCTTATATAACATTGTAATCTGATCGACCAGTCGGTCGAACGGACGCCCCTCCCCATTGTCATGAAACTAATGACTCGGTCAACTTTTAGTCAAAACACAAACATGAAATATCTCTGCTGTGTGGACGTTGACTGCTGGTCAGCATGTGGATGTTAGTCATTTGTTTACTTGGACTAATGAAGAAGCAGTATTGTAGACTAGACCTGTAACCGCGTGAATGTTAGTCATCGTTTGCTGTACCATATAGCCTGAACTTAAGTACTCTGGATGAGAATATACGGTGGTTGTGCACTAGAATTGTGTCACATATTCAGAACTTTCGCGCAAACACCAGCAGACCAAGTTTAACTGCAGTTCGAAAGCAGTAATAGTCTGACCAGATTTAGCATAGTACATTTCTATACAAATCGAATTGGAAATTTTAAGTGAAATTTGACTGACAACCACGCCCCGACCAACTCTCGAACACCAGCCAACCATGACCGAACCTCCCATCCACATCCAAATGTTTTAAACATATTTTGAAGTTTTTTATTGCCGCAGCCGAACAGTAGCCGACCTGGCCGAACACTAGCCTGGGTACCATCCGGATTTTTGCTACGCAACGCTCTCGATTTTGTCGAGCGTTGCGTAGCGAAATTCCGGATGGTACCCAGGCTAGCCGAACACCAGCCAACCTACCCCTAACCATGGTTGGAGGGAGTTCGGCAGTGTTCCGGAGGCCACATTCGGCTATAGCTATGTATGAGATTGGCTCAATGGTAAGCCTGGATAGACCAAATTTGAGTTGTGACAAAACCGTCTTTCCAGAAATCCAGCACAGTTCTCTCGTTTTACCTTTGCACTTTATCATCTTTGCGGTAAACCCATGATGCTGCAAGATTTTTCTTCATTCCAACTTTTCCTCAAAACAACTACAGGATCCTCAGCAGATGAGACGTTAAATCTGTAACATGGTGGCACTAATAAGTAATCGTTACAGAACGTCGGTCTCATGGACTATCAAAGAGCATGCCTTTTCTAGTTACGTAAACAAAAATTAATGTGTCTTAAGAGCTGTTGTTTTGTGTTTTGTTACTGTGAGTGTTGTTTATGGAATTCTTGAGCTCCTTGCCGGCTGCCCCTGTACGTGTTGGTCCCAGAACAACCTCTTATCACCTCTTATCACAATTTATCACGTGTGAGATTTGACTCAGACGTAAACATTATAACAACATTCCGTGGTTACTGAACTACGATCACCTGTTTTGACAGTAACTAACGAGACAGGTGCATGTTAGTAACCACGATGACAGAACATAGAGATCAAAGGTTTCCTTGGTAAATTTTAGTGTCTATATCTCTCTGATTCTGCAGCAAGTCTTTCATACAGTCCCTTCAGTTTAATCCCTGTTTTGCTGGCACTATACCAGATCCTTACAGAATGTGTTATGTTGTATAAAAAAAATAGATGCTTGTTAATTCTTCGTATTGTGTCTGTGATGAACGGAATCTATGTTGGACCGTTGTAGGTAAGATATGTCCGTAAATAGTTTCATCATTAGCTTGATAAGTCACTGAATAAAGATACTAGTTTTACACAACCAAGTGCTTCATTCAGTCGACATTCAGTCGCGGTTCGAACCCGCTTCCGCTACGCCACACGACCCCACACAGGTGAGAAGCAAGTAGCTCCCGTACCAATCAGATCGCCCGATAGGTCGTTCACATATACGTTATATAATTCTGTTTGGTTAGGAGAAACGTCACAGTAATCAAACGTAGATTATTAACCTGACAGCTTCCCCTACTCACACAGCATCTTTCACAATTAATCATAAACAGGGGCTAGGTTTTGGTACGGACAGTTGGTTTGGTTGTACTTGGTTAATTTTTGGCCAGACTAGAACATATGAACAATTGCAGAAAATACAATCTGATGAGAAAAAAAATTATCAAGCACAATGAAATAGCAATGAATTAAACACCAAAAACGTTAACTGCAATACGAATTACATTAAATACTACATTACTTTGAGAGTATTGCCCTTTGTCCTTGATTTGCATGTGGGACTGTGAGGGCAAGTTTTAGTGTTTATCGCCAGGGGGCGCATGCAGTACATCTTTACATGTACCTGATGAGAGGAAAGAAAGGCAATTTAGGTTTTGCCATCAAACTCCTCTCAGATTTTTAATACATTTCGATAAATCATCTCATTTCCGTTTTCATTTCCAAGGAAGTTGGTGTATTTTTCTTTTATCGGCTTTCCACTTCATACACAATTTCGTTTATTGGTCAGCTCGGAAATTAATAACGTAATAAAACTGAGTCAAATTCCAGTAAAAATACATAAAACGACAAAACAACCTATCTTGATTCCTGATGTTAAAGCACACTGGCAGCGATAGCGGGGAAGAGTGAGATTGAATCGTATATTTCCTCACTTCCACACGCTTTTCGCTGCAATAAAATAAACCTTTACGGCACTGTTTTGACACTGAACACAAATCACTTACTTCTCGGAGAAAACATGTACACACGTTTTGTGTGAAGACGAGTGTAGAATACATTTTCTAATTGCACTGTCACATTTCCAAGCCGGGGCCCGGCCGGGTTGTTTGCGTGAACGAAAAATAAACAATTTTTATTAAGAGTATACACAAATAGTGCTCATGGTTAATTTTCTTTTTTTTCTGTCTTATATCATGTGACCGCGCCATAACCTGTTATTGTCTTTTGTTAAAATGTCTATTGTCAAAATCGGTAATGTTTTCTTGATTTGGTCCAATTTATACAATGAATGAATGAATGAATGAATGAATGAATGAATGAATGAATGAATGAATGAATGAATGAATGAATGAATGAATGAATGAATGAATGAATGAATGAATGAATGAATGAATGAATGACTGTTTATTATCGTGCCATTGCGATCAATATGCTGCCCAGCCCATATGGGCTTATTAGGCACCGACAAAATACAAAATCAAAACAAATCAAAAGGTACATAAATTATAACTTAACATAATATACAATAAATCCAGGAAATTAAGTAGTACTGGTCATATACAGAAATCAAACCAAATGTAACATAGATGATAAATAATAACAATTTAGGTTCAACCAAAATTGATAATGGATAAAAGTAACAAGAGTAACTGTCACATGACTGTTACATACAGAGAACCAACTTAACAGAAAAGTGAACAGGTAAACGTAGCAAGGAGAGAGGAGAACCAAACTGAAAATGACAGTAAAACAAAATAAGATCAGCCTGTTATGAATAAATGTGAATAAAGTTTACGTTACGTTACAATGATAAAATGCCACAATAAATCTCTACGGTTAGCTAATTACACTAAAAGATTTGAAGAGGAGTGTACAATACATTTTCTGACTTGTCATTGTCTTTTGATGTAAGATTATTTTTTCATGACCTTCTTCGACATTTAATTCATAAGAAGACGTTATCAAAATCTGCAATGTTTTCTTGATTTAGTCCAGTTTATACAATGACAAAATGCCACAATAAACCTCTACGGTTATCTTATTGCACTATAAGATTTGAAGAAGAATGTACAATACGTTTTCTAACATGTCTCGTCTTTTGCTGTAAGATGGATTTTTCAAGACATCCCACGATATGTAAATCATAAGAAGTTAAAAGCTTTAATGTTTACTTGATTTAATCCAGTTTAAACAATGATAAAATGCCACAATAAACCTCCACGGTTAGCTTATTGCACTACAAGATTTGAATAATGTGCAATACATTTTCTGACCTGTTATCGTCATTTTCTGTAAGGTCAATTTTTCATGAAACCTCTGCAAATATAAATCATAAAACGACACTAAAAGCTGGAGCTTTCTGTAACTTTTTCTCCATCCAAGCCAGTTTAAACGATGATAAAACTGTGCAATAGCCCTCCTCCCATAAGACGTATATTCCTGCACGGATCGGGTATTAGACTGTATAAGATTGATAACTTCCTGGAACAGTTTGACCCAATGTAGCCCCAGCAGTCGCTGTATTTCCGTCTAGGCTCCGATGTTCCCGTATTCGGTCTAAGTGGCCATTTCTCAACCTCTGCAAGCTTTCCCGATAGACTCACTCAACTAGGAGACCTAGTTTTTACCATCATTAAAAAATGGAGGCATTGTTTTTGGCGCGTCTGTCTGTGTGTGTGTGTGTGTGTGTGTGTGTGTGTGTGTGTGTGTGTGTGTGTGTGTGTGTGTGTGTTTCCGCACATTTGTAGACAGCATAACTTCAGAACGCCTTTATGGATTGTGATGATATTTGATATTCTGGTACGTCTTATGAAGCCAACGGTCAAGGTCAATTATGGGCCTCCTGGTGGCTGACCTTGGTACTGCAGCAGAACTTTTGTATTTTGAGGGAAACAGATGTGCCGGTTATGCACCAAAACACCAGCTGTCAAAGGCTTCCTCTAAACGCAAAACACGTGTGGTCAGGCAGCGCGCCTACCCGGTTTGATTGATGAGGTTCTCTGGAAAAGGCTACAAGTACTGAGTTAACAGTCTGACCTATTTCAGGACAAAAACCTGTGTTATTTTGTTCTGTACTGTAGTGTAGTGTACTGTGTAAAAACATTTACAAAAACTCATATATTTTATGGAGGTTTGAGATCTCCGAATTCTTGTTGGCACAAGCGGTCTTTAAGGAACGCTCAGAAAATGCCCCAGATATAAGCTAACGCGACGGTGATTTTTCAGAAGTCTTTAGCTATAAATACATGCACTGGGTAATGGGAACAAATCCCTGACCGCTGGTCTCACATTGAGAGTGCAATCACGCTGCTCCAATTGAAGCTCATTGGAATCAAATCTAGAACGGAAATCTGGCCTACAGTCTTCCATCTATCTCCCCCTGGCCTGCCGGACGTTTGTCTTCATTTTTTTTGTGGGAACTAAAACTACCGGTAACTTTAAACAGGCTAAATAATGTTGAGACTGTTTTATTTTGAGTTTGTATCTC